AATCATGTGTTGTTCGATTCGTTGTATGATCTAAAAGCAATATCGTCATTGAAACGAAAACTGTTATTCAATAGCGTGATCATATCAACTAGATAGATATAAAAAAATAGAAAAAAAAATACATAAAGAGGAGGCTAGTGATATGAAATTTATTCTTTTTCTGTAAACATAACTTATCGACAAAAAAAATTATAACAATCACATCATTTGCATGTGTCTTTCAAGAGATTTCAAGAATGTTCGTGTGCACGTGGTTATGAGTGTGAATCATTTGTTTATCCACACCCACATCCTAATTATGGTCAATAGATGTTTTGAATTCGTACAAACATAAATTCCTGTTAAAAATGATTAAACATCCTTTATGGTAATAACAATGATTATAGTACAGATTTGTTTCAGCGAAGTATTCTCATCGTATACTATGAAGTTCATTGACTTTGAATAATCACAGCAGATCGGAATCCAAGATGGAAAACGATAGATTCGAGTACACGAAAAAGACGGATATCATATGAATAGTATTGGATGCTGATAGTTCAGGTACATTGGACAGATCATGTTTCTATGGAAATATCATACATGGACATAACCATCATTATACGATCAATACGTGTAAAAAGATATCATAAAGAAGTAAAACGTCTTAATATTTTTTTGTTTGATTGAAATAAAAATGAAAATTTTGCAATTGTCAATCACTAAAAAGCATAAGTGTAAAATACAGTTTCTTTTAGTATTAAACTTATAAGTAACAAGTAGGCCATTAAAACCATTCTTAATTCATGTTGCTTTTAAATCTTTTATTGAATGTGTTATTTATGAATCGATTCGAATCAACCAACTCGTAGATTTTTATCACTGTATCACATTCATCATTTCAAGGAATCGTTTCAGTTTTCACTCGTAATCTGCACAGAAAAAAAAAACGGCCAAATAATGTATCTAGTTGCTAAAAGTATAATCTTCAAAAAAGCTTAAAATATGTGAAATAGTTTTGTCTCTTTCTTTTATTTTCATAGAATCTAAGACAAAAAAATGAGGTCATGGGTTAGTAATGGTCGAGTTTAGAAATAATTTTCTGATAAACCATTACTGTCGGATCTCCGTATGCTTTTCGACTAAATTTGTATGTTAAGTTGAAATCGAATTGATGTTGAGTAAGAACAGAGGATGTACAAAGAATTTCGTCATCATAAGCTATTTCATAACTATGTACGAAATTGCATGCTTTATATAATTACTCAACATCGAGTATGACTCAATTTTGGCGAAACTTCTTTATAAATTTGAAAATTTGGTCCAACAGCCAAATGCTTATTTGAGTGTTCTGAGTATTCTGTCAGCTCACAGACATGTACTGCCTTAAGATAAAAACCATAAATTCAGTAGAATTATAATTCAAATATTTACTTATTGAACAAGAAAATAACTAACCGCCTTGATTAACTTTCGTTTCTTCATTATGTATGAAATATGAGCTATTTGTAGATGTGAAAAATAGAGTATAATCTGTACCAAATAATGTATTTGTAGCTAAGTCATCTGATGAAATTTTTTCTATGAACCCAACTGTACTAATTAGAGATCTGCTCATTCTCATATTCAAACGAATTCTCGAGAAAGCAGATAGTTCTAATTCAGTCAAATAGTTTCACGTATTAAGATCTTTAGGAACTCTCGTCGAGAAGAACTCAAAAAACAACTCTGATACGTGTGTGTAGGGCATAGATTAAATCCTCTATTCATCAATGCTTACAATTACATTCTCGCTGACCTACATCAAAACTTCCAGCTAAACATCAAACATTCTTTGATTGATGTGATAAAGATGGAATGATGTAATTTAAATTAGGTAGCATTTCATCAAATAACCTTCTGCTTAGGTATATTCCTGTTGATTTCTCTTTAAGTGAGTTACTAAAAACTCCCTAGTGAAGTATTTCTCATGATTGATACGCATCCTTATTGCTACATTTTCATTTTAAAGTGATGCACTGACGATATTCTATTAGTTGTTTTTTTTTTATTAAGCAAATACAAATCTATTCCCTCATTTATCACACGGACTGGGCACTATTTCATGTTATCCCTTCGGTCAGTTTTCTTTTTGTAGATCCATTATTTTAAACAGTTCTGTTTTTTCGAGGTAATTCATATTTTTGTTATTAGAGTGTCATGTGTGTGGGTGTTGAATCTGGATGTAGAAGGAAAGAATATTCACAGTCACCAGTCACACCCTTCAAAATATTCTCTATTCCAATCTTGCCTCATACCATCGTGAAAAAACGAAAAACAATCAGATCGAAATTAATGACTTTATGATTAGAGTTCAATTGAAATGGTATGTATTTTAATTCAGTTAAAACCCGTTTGAAAAATAGCAGAAAAATCTCGGCCTTTGTGACTAGAAAAAATGATTTTGGTTGGATCGAAGTCATGCAAATTTAATCTGATGTTTTCTCAATTGTTTTTCAGATGGATTAATGCGAGAGTCATTCAGCCTAAAACATACATAACATTACATTCCTTTGCTGGCCATTTTTAGTACTTATTTAACTCTATTCAGTAGATACTGAAATGTTGCTTTTTGTAAGCTTTTGCATGAAAACAGAACTGACTGTAAACGTCATACTTTTCTTAGGCCTATATTAGAAGCTTTCAACAAACGCATGGCATTGCCTTCTTCCGTCTACAGTGACGCAATGGAGGTATTTTTATCTTGCTACCCACCCTATGTTTTATGAGTGATGACTCAAGAAATGGAGAGAAGGACAAAAGAAAACAAAATATTCCGGTTGTTTCAATCGTGATACTGCAAAATATTCAAGTTGATTATGTGATTAGTCAAAATAACAAGTTGATATTTACGTGCGAAAGATAAGAAGATTATCAATTGATTCAAACTTTTTGATCATTGAAAAACGAAAAGTAAATAAGAATTATATTATTCGATTATGGCAGAAGAAAATTTGTTGAATAAGTACGTTTTTCCATTGCAATAAAGCAATTCAAGTTTGATCACAGATGACTTGACTATTTTTCACTTTTTCTTTGCAACATAACCTCAGTATCAGTATTTTGTTTATATCTCAATCAGGTTTCATCACTCAGTCTTAAACTTTTCTTCGAAACAATCTTTAAGTTTGTTATTGCATTATTTCCGTGGTGTGTTTCCTTGGTTTTCCTTTTCTTTCTTTTTCTCTTGCTCGAATTTGATAATTCATGTATTGATATACTTCATCTTTCCTTTGATATTTGATGTAAATATATGTTGTTTCTATCTAATACCGCAAGAGTGATTTGCGGGACTAGAGAAATTAACTGATTTAAACTTAATAAGGCAACTTATATATAGAACAACATATACTAGATAGTACATGATCTTTTGATTAAAATTTGCAGATTAACATCTTTTTTTTTTAAGTTTCAATGACGGATCAAACTTCAAGTAATTCACCAGATGATATGATAACAACTGAACCTTAACAAACAGTTGATAATGATCCAACATTAGATCAAATGTTTGTTTCATTATCCATTAGCAATCCTGAACAGCAATGTACTTAGGTTGATCGAAAACGACTTATTCAAAAATAACTTGCTTTATTATTACATGCATATAAGTGTTAACAACGTGAAAAACAAACTATTAAAGGTGAAATACCTCATCCAAGTACATCATGTATATTACCACATTGTAGTACTATGAAAAGCGTCCTACAATATATGACAACATATACGATTCTTCATTGTGTTATTTCACATCAAATTATCTTATATTGGCATAAGTGTGATAATTCTCAATTTCCCATTTGTCAACCAATGAAAAACTCATCAACTTTAGCCATATTAAGATTAAACAACTAACAAAATTAATACTAATGCAATAAATATAGAACTGACAATTAGTTAAGATGACTAGAACAAGCATTATGGCAGTCGTAAGTGGTCATGTACAACATGGATACGGCTAGCTCAAACTACTATACATAATCATTTCTCATCCGAATTATATCTGTTTTCATCAGTAAAGATGGCGATTTGTTTTTCTTAGTTTTACCCTAGTAAACAAAAGAAAAAAAAACCTATTTATTTGTAAACCTTTACTCAATAGATTAAACAGCATTTTGTTAGATATCGTTGAATTTATTTAATAAATACTTATCTGTTGCCTATTTTTGACATAAGATTTTAAAAAAATATTGTTTAATTTTTTAAAAATATACTTACGATTATATACACTGTTGAGGTGAATCTAAACAAACAAAAAAATTAAGTAATTTTTCTTATGCAAAACTCATCGTGGAAAGAAATTTGAATAAAGCTGTTTTTTTTAATACTTACAATGGATATATCATAGGAATAAAAGATTGTCTCTTCCGAATTACAATATCCTTGTTTTACCATTAAAGTCTAATCATCTTTGATTATTATCTTCTAATTTAGTTTTGAGTGTGGATGTGGCTTGAGTACTAATCTCAGTTCAGAGAATACATACACCTATGTCCATCCAATAGAAAAATTGTCTCGTCCTTCAAAAAGCTGTTCGCTATAGCAAGGTTGGCAATAAATTATTCACTTGAGTATGGTGTGCATTTATTCGAGACGAAATAGAATACGAGGTATTACTTGTTTTCGTCTGAATAAAATGTTTTTTTTTCTTTTTCTGTTCTTCTGTTTTATATTGCAACATGAGACACGAAATTGAGACTGCATGTCATTTTTTCTTCTTCTCTAAGAGAAATTTTAGTTCTTCTAACCTTGAGAAAGACAATGTTGGATGAAGGTGTTGACAAGACTTTTGATTCTGGAAAGAAAGCATTTGAACAAAGAAACTTCGAAGAAGTGAGAGTATCTATTCAACTTATTTTATTTTACAATAGCAAATTTTATACACATAGGCTATCAAATATTTGCGTCGTGTGGTCTCATCGCATGATGCAACAACGATTGAAAAAAAACTATCATATGTTTTATTGTTAGATAGCTATTTAGCGATGAAATCTTTTGAAGACGTAAGAGCACATATCAATGCGACACACAGTTATGAAATATTTTTGTTTGTATGGTATTTATTAGGCTGTGAATGTAACAAATGAAGTAATGACAACCTATTCAGATGATTACCTCATGCATTTAGAATTCGGTCAAACATTGAATAGTGTCTCCTATGGTGCAGGAGAAATCGATTCAAGTCTTCTAAAGAAATCGCAAGATCTTATTGAATATGGTCTGTTCTTTTTTTTCAGACGTTGAGTGCATTCAGAAAAAATCGAGACGAAAAATAATACAATTTTAATCCTTTCAACCCACCATTTCATCTCATAGATGATATGCAGAACGCAAAAGAGAAATTTCTCGTTACGAAATTCTATTATTTTTTGTATTGAACTAATGGAGTTCGAATTCGTTGGCAGTTGATTATCTAACGCGGAACGGAAGAGATAAAAATTGAGATTCTCGTGAACTTGTCCAGAACGATAGAAGATGTCGGAACTGAAAGACTTAAACAGAAGTGTCCGTTTGATCGAATTGAAGTTCTGCATAAAGCACTTTAATAGATCTCGTCCAAAAATAGTTTTCAATCGCATGGAGTTTTTATATAGAAAATGATCTTGTTTTCTATAGGTTTGTCGAAAGCTCAAACAGAGTCTGAGAAGTATTATGCACAACGTGCACTTATAAGAAACTTATTTGATCAAGGCAATCATTTTGGTAAAAAGGTTATTTCCGAACTCTGGTTCAGCGAAGACAATGAACCGTCAAAATGTCAATGTAATAATTCCACGTGTGAAAATTGTAATACTCATCAACATCAATCGAAAATAAAGATGAATGCACGAAAAGCATGCAAGATCTACGGTGATATACTCAATGGCGAACGTTTGTCTCCTCAGTTTCTTGATCTTCAACGGCTTCATGATATGGACAGTGTTCTATTTAAACTTTTCGATCACTCTGATCTTTCTCATTGTATTCTATGTTGGGTAGAGTCAAAAGATATTGGTTTGAGTCACATTGTGCCGAAATCTGTACTCGAACATCAATCGAAATTATTTCCATATAAAAATACTGACCGCTTATTGTTACATTCATCGAACCATCCACGATATGTATCGGGAACAAAAAAAGTGAAATGGAAGATGCTCTGTTCCATGTGTGACAATCGATTTTCAACATGGGAGAATAAATTTACTGAAGCCTTTTGTAATGAAACAAGTGAAAACATCAAAAGACGCACAGCAATAATACGCATTCATGGTGCTACTGAAAACCAAGAAGTTGCATACAAAGAATGGCTTCAATCATTTTTGATGAGTTTAGGTTGGCGTGAACTTGTGCGTCGTTTTGCAACTAGCTCTACAAATGAATATGCTGGAATTTCAGCTAATATAATGAAATTAATGCATGAATGCAGATATCATTGCACTCAAGAGTATGAAGATCCGGCATGCCGAATGCTATCACTTGGATGTGATCGTCCACCGAATGTTGCTTTGATTATTGCACCTACATTATGTTCATCGATAGCGCACTATTCTAACCTTCTTACACGCTGCCTTATGTCAACTCTTTCTGCTTCAGAAGTAAGTTTCTAGATTATAATATAATCCTGAATTGGCCTAGTCCTTTAAGTTAAAGAAAAAAAATGAAAAACATCTAATTTAAATTTAAATCGTTTCAATGACTTTATTCTAATGATTTATTGATACGATCATTAGTAACTGGAAAAAAATATATTAAAAGACTTACATTTATGATTAAATACAAATATATCCATCATTTTTTGAGCAATATGATTTGATTAAGAATCCAATTGAATCGTAGATAATTATATATGTATATGTATATATATTAGGTCAAATTAAAGTTCTTTTTAGACTGGTTTACCGGATGGCGTCATCTTAATCAAATTTGGAATGTTTTATATTCTGTTGATGGATGATGGTAAAGAATGGACAGAATTACCTGAACGTGTTCGTATTAATCGAGAAGGTAGCTTCGTGATTCCGTCAGATAATGAACGTGCACGTTTCGGTGATTTGCCTAGTTGGTTCATCAAGCATCTTACTACTGCAGCAGAACGATTTGAAGCTAAGATGAATGAATTGCGAGAGACAACAAGTTCGGAAAAGACAGAGAGAAGACAACAGGTGCGCGAGAATGACACTACTGGTTTTCTTCGAGAGAGCTTTCTTGCTCAACAAAGACTTCTTTTTGAGAAACCAGAAATAACTGATAATTGTTTACCAACTTGGTTCAAACATGACATATCCGAGAGTTTTTCACTAACAACAATTCTTGAAGGTATATTTAGTGTCTTTGACAAACAAACGTTACCATATAATGAACAATACAAAATTCTGTACACTACTGATGATATCTCGGGCATTCGCACATTTGGTTATGTGGAAATCTATATTGGTGAAAGATTAATCCTAGAAACAGTGTTTAAGTTTCCAGAATGCTGTACCCAAGAAAATTTTCGAAACGAAATAGAAGTTTGTGTCGATGGTCTCGACGATGCGAAGAAAGATAAACTCATCAAATATTGGACTTCAAAAATGCCAAGTAGCTCGCCTCAAGAACAAACGAAGACATGTATCACCATTCAATCTACAGCTACAATGACTACCTTACCTCAAGAACAATATTCGACACGTTTGGAAATAGCAGCTGATCTATTTTGGAAATTAATTACATTACCATTTGACTTGGACGATTTTGAAAATTAGAGAACTTAGTTGAACATGCTGTTTAAATATTCGTAATATCCACATTTCGTATTAATAGAAATATGACGGATGGGATGTCTGTGGGTAGATGTAGGTATGAGAGTATGGTGAGTGTGTTTGTCAGTAGAGAGACTAGGAAGACCGATATCCGCACATTCACGCATATGCAAACTCACGCCTACATTTATCCTCACACTGACACGCTTTATAAACCGTTAAGCATACACTTTTACAACTAAAATATTTTATTTGAATCCTCAAGCTATGTGAACTTCAATTCATTTATTTCTTATATTTCGACAAGCAAGAAAGTGATAATGTTAAAGCCATCTTTACAATATATGCCCACCTACATATGATCTAAAGCCCATGAAAAGATAAATTGGTTGTGTTTATATTTAGTTTATTGACTTACAATTGTTGCAACTACTAATCAGTGTTCATTTTCAATTTTTCTGTTGAGTTTCAATGGACTATGCTTCATGCCTTTAATTGCTCGAAAATATGGATAATTATCCGCTAATTACCTGAGTGTGTGGATATTGTTGATAGGCTTAAATCGGCACTATGTCCTTGCATACTATTACTAATGTGTGACTGAGTGAGTTGGGTATCATAGAAGAGAAAGAGGTCATCCACAGCTGCAATAGCCAATGCTTTTGAAATTGGAGAACGAAAGCCTTCCCCGATATCAGAAAGTTTTGGTTTTCCTTCAATAGAAACTTCTGTTGATCAAATCAAACTCGTTTCGCCTGCAGCGAACATAATGTTTTTGCCTGTGGAAGTTGGTATAGCGGCATAGCTCCGATATCACACGTGTCGTTTAATTCGTTTCATTGAGATCTAGACAATTATATGTCGAGATTTTTAGTTTCTACCGAAGGTGTGGGTGTCAGTGTCGGTACCGGTATGGGCTGATTCAACACCCTCGCTTGATAAATATTCAATCACATCATTTCATGAGCAAAATAAATCTGCTTGATTTACTTCTCAAACTAGCAGCAATCTAATATTGATCACAGTTAGCGACGTTTGTGTCGCGATTTTTATATAATTCTACGATATGCAAATGAATATGTGATACATGAGTTGTTGTTGGAAATGTTAGCTACTTTTAAATATTCTCAACTGCCGGGATTGATAACGAAATCTAAACGAAGATGTTAAGCAATGATGAGTAATTAAAGAATAAGAAATCACAAAATAATAGTTCTTTGTTGAAATATGATACGGAAGGAACTATGCACTTGAGTTTATGCTATTGAGATAGGCTCGCCATCCACCAGTATGTGTGATATCCTGCGCACCATCCAAAGCTGATGGTTCTACCAGAAATCCCTTGACAACACGCCCATCTTCAAGAAAAATATTGCCTATAGAAAGTGGTGGTGGAATCATATCAATAAAGCTAGCTACACCATCGATGGGAAGAGCCCAAATTTCAAGTTCAATACCGGGTCCTTTGGAATCTAACACGCGCACCACGCCAGGCTTGAGTGGAACACAATCCTTGAGCACGTAAAGACGATAGTCTGGGTGAGTACGGCAGGTGCGCACGAGTCGAGCTTTACGTTCTGTAAGTTGATAATTGAGTGGTTGACCAGACAGATGTGTACCGACAACTGCGATAAAGAAACAGTTCGAGGACGCACCATAACCTTCAGTTGGTAATAACTTTGGTGTGTTTGCCAAAGGACGCGTAGATCCACCAAGATTAGTGGCAAGCGCGCGATGTATACGATCTCCAAGCAACAGAAGAGCAGTATCAGTGAACGCTGGTCCAATCAAAGTAATACCAAAAGGCAGACCGTCGGAACGCATACCGGCGGGTATAGCAATGGCCGCGAAATCGAGCAGATTTACAAAGCTCGTGTAGTATCCTAAATGACTGTTACGCTCGATCGGTGCCTCAGCTATCTCATCAATGGTATAAGTTCGCGGTGCGGTTGGAACGAGAAGAATATCGAACTTTTCCCATAACGTATGAATTTTTTTCTTTAATCCCTCGAGTTCGTAGGCGGCATTAAATGCATCAACTGCAGTATAATATTTTGCTTTAGTAATAATGGTATGTACTGTTGGATCTATGTCTTTTACATGTTGCTCGATGAACTGGCCAACAGCAGCGTATCGCTCAGATACCCATGGGCCTTTATAGACTAGACTGCCCACAGCTAAGAAAGGTGTAAGATCAATATCCACTGGTTCACCGCCGAGATCATGCTTAATGACATCGATTGCTTTTTGAAAAAGTATAGGATTATAAATGTCACCAAAAAATTCGCATGTGCTAAGTGTTGGTACACCGAACCGAAAGATTGGTGCGATACTCCATGGTGCTGAACCAGACGAAGGCGATGGTACACGAGAATAGGGATCCAGCTCGTCAAAACCACGTACAACTGCCAGAACAATTGAAGCATCTAAGGCTGTTTCCGTAAAGATAGAAACACAGTCAAGAGTGCGACAGGCAGGTACTACACCACGCGTGCTCAGTAATCCATGTGTGGGCTTGAGTCCAATCACATTATTGAACATTGCCGGGACGCGTCCCGATCCGGCTGTGTCCGTTCCCAAAGCAAATGTAACCTATTTAAGTAAAAATAAGATATAATTGTTTATTGTCTTTTGTGTTTCTTCTCTTTGATGCGCTCTTCTGTTTTTGATTAAAACATTTAATCTTCCAAATCTTATCAGTCATGTCATATAAAGATTAGACGAAAGTGCTTTCAAAGATATTCTATCAAAATGAAAAGCCATATGGATATGTTTATCGACTTCGTTCGTATGATTACAGCAGAAATAAACCTTTAAGAACTATCCGGGCATGAAATTGGTTCGATATCAGTCAGATTTATCTCACTCTTAAAATCACAAGAATACTCACCAAACCACTTGCTACTGCTACTGCTGAACCGGAACTTGAGCCACCAGAGATGTAATTCGAATTAAAGACGCTTGCACAGGCACCACAGGGTGTACGTGTACCTACGAGGCCTGTTGCAAATTGATCCATATTTGTTTTGCCGATGAGAATAGCACCTGCTTGCTCGAGTTTCACAACGACATGTGCACTTTCAGTTGCCGATCCGCAAGCAAACGTTGGACATGCATCTGTGGTCGCTAAACCAACTACATCAATATTGTCTTTTACAGCAAATGGAATACCAAAAAGTGGCAGTTTTCTTCGATCTTCTTCTGCTATAAGCGTCAATTGCTCTATTCGAGCTAGAGTATTTTCACGAGAAATAAGTGCAATCCACACAGGATTCAAGCCTTCACATTCAATGCGATCGTAAATGGCATTAATGGTAGTGAAAAGAGCATTTGGATCGGTTGAGTAAAGCGCCTGAAGGGTAGCAATGTCCGGCATATTGAAACAATCGTTTCTAAAAAAGAAGGTCATAGCGTTATACCTGATAATGAAAGAAAAATAAATTCTTAATTCCTTCAAAATGAACTTTAGATAAATACATTTCAATCGTACTCATCATTACAATTGTGATACACTAGAGTAACTATGTGAGTTTCAATGGTTTTCATTCAGATGGAAAAATTACATAACTTTCTCAGGATGTTATACACATTAATAAATTTTCTTAACATGAGAATCTTAATTTTACAGTGATTTAGTGCTGTGGCGCATTTAGTTGTCAAATAGCCGTTTGAGTTAGAGCAATGTACACTTATGAAACAATATCTATCAGATGTTTCGTATGCGTATTCTTCAGAATCATAATTACCACAAACTGGCAGAAATCTCATAGCGGTGAGTTTTTATCTGATATCTTTCTGCCTTACTAGTAGTAAACTTTTAATTGGATCTAAAATTATAATTGAATAAATTTTTTCTGTTTTCTTACTTGTATCGTTTTCTATGAAGCTTTGAAAATTTTAACTATCCTGATACTCAACTCAGACAACTATGCGTCTCTTTGATTTATTCTATTACATTTTGCTTTATTCGTTTCTCTTATCTTTTCTTTTTCTCCTTCATATTACTGTCGTTGATATCTTCGAGCTTTATCTTCGTTTTGTTGTTTGTCAATATATCTTGATGCTTTAAGTGTATGGTCGTAACACAAAATTGGTCACAGTTGCATTCATTCATTGGATGTCATGAAATATGTTCTATGTGATGAATTTGTTTATGATGTAATTTATTATAGAAACGCCGGTTGCTTTTTGAATAATAATTCGTATCTAGCAAACATATTAAATTACAAAAGTTTTTTTTTTTAAGCATTATTCTATAAAGTCGAATCATATTAAAAAGACGATCTTTAATTGGCCTACATCAACCAATAGTATTCGATCTTGCCATTATTTTGGTGTCATTTGATTTGCCATTATCTTATAAATGAATCCATAGTCAACTAATTTCATATGTTTTTTTAAACATCCTGTTGGTGGTGGAACACATGTGACACATTCCGAAAACGTGATTTAAATCTAGTGTACAGCACAGTTCTCATTTTTTTCTGGGAGAGTGGACCATGACATTTTTTTCAATTTAATTTTAATTAATTATACAGACGCTGAAATCAAAAGCAGAAGAGATCTTGAGATCTATACTTCTTTAGCAGGTCCGATTTCGATTAGATCATTTCAAGGTAGTTCTCTCTCGATCATCGATCGAGATCGGCATTTTTCAACTGATAACTAATCGAGAAATAATTTAAAAAAAATAGACACGAAATTACATGACTGGTGTATGTTCAATGAACCTGTCTTTATGTAGCAGTGTCTGTACAACAAAAGAGTGCACGAATAGTTGACTGACAGAACGCGAAAAATTCATAAATGACATATTTTTGTAATACAATCAGCAAAACAATAAATCGCAACATATAAGTGCAAGACATATAATTTATATATATATGAGTTGTGAAGGAGTGTCATAAAACTTTAAATAAAATGAAACAGAGAGAGATCTTTGACATTTCTATATAAAAAAAACAACAACGAAAGAATTTTGGATGATTGCTTTTTCCATCACGGATAAGTTCGAATATTTTTAGTATTGGATAAAAACTTTTTTTATCAGAACTATTCGAATTTTATTCCAGTTTTTGAAATATTTCTAGTCTCTTGCTTTGATAGCTCAAAAGAAAATAGATAAATTATTGCTATTTTTCAGTTATATCTAAAATATATATAGTTCTCATGATACAGTATGACAATTTCTTTAGCAGAATAATGCTGAAGAATTGTTTCCTACTTCTTTACTGTATTCTTCTTAAACCACGTCACATAGAACACTATGTTCTTTGTCTTTTCTCTTTATTTGTTTTTCTTTTTTTCATTGTATTTGTCGATAACCAATTTCAGCGCAATCTTTGTGAGATTCCAATGTAAAGCACAATGAAATTATTTTTAAAGATAAAGGATTCTGCTATATAAATATAGTCTATCCATAAAGACAAGCAGAAAAAGTAAGAAATCCAGAATACTAGAATTCTGACGGAGCCGATACAATCCGATGAATCAAGCGTTTGTATCTGTCAGAATGCACTACGTTCCCTATCCAGCATTCGGTTTTTCCTGTTTTTTTGGTTAATTTTCTGAGTTTCTGTCCACTTTGATGGATTCTAAGAACTGATAAGATCCAATATATTTCGCTTTGTTTCCTTGTATAAGGCGCTCTATCTATAAGAGAAGTGACAGTTTAAAAGCAGGTTTGTCTCTAAACGAGGGTGAAGAGTGAAAATTTCTGAGTCAAAATTCGAACACTGCTGATAATTGTGTTTTCAAGAAAAAGATCGGTATCTATTGAAGAATGAACCCATAAAGACATTGCTACTAACATTATTCAGACATATCATGAATTTTAGAAGCTATCTCAGTATTTGGAATTTAATATTTTGCTGGAAAAACACTTATCGTCTGCTTAGATTCTTACATTAGAGGATCAATGTAGCAGCGGAACATCACTATCCAAGTATCTTTTCAGTACTTTTTGGTACTTTGTAATATATTTAGTAGTCAGATATCATGCTTATCTTCTTCCTTAGTTCATCCAGGCGCTGAAAAGAAGGTGGATGATGAGAGTTCCATTCCTGTATCTCGTGCCTTGAATGAAAATCTCACTTAGAATACTACTTTTTTGATAGATGTTCATGAACTAAAGTTATTGCTTGAGAAGAGAAGATCTTTATTCAATCTATTTCTATCGATATATTTCGATGCATTCGTTTTATTGGGGTAAAACGAAAACGTTAGATTTCAAAAAAAAAAACATTTGGTGAGCTATTTTTATATAATATCTTGATTTGAATGCTCCAAAATGTCCTGATTAATTAGAAAGTTTTGCTTATGCAACGGTGTGTGTGGGAGTGTGTGGGTGTTGGTGTGGGACGTATATCTGTCTTTCCTCCACATCCCATATCCATCCACACCCACACCCCACACTCACACCCATATTTACTTTTTTAATTCTTTTCAATTTAATTTTTTTTCTAAGCATGATACAGCAGCACTTACCTGTTTCAGTGCTCTACAGTACTCAACTTGGTTTGAATAAAATGGAACACACAAAATAAAAATTCGCAATAGTAGCCTTTTTTTGTGAATAAATTTGTTCAAATATATTTAATAATAAATGTAACTATCAATATTTTGGAAATAAAATTTTTTCTTCAATTATATGCTTTAACATGATGACATCCATGTCTTGATAATAATATATTTGAATAGTACAAAACAACTTCGGCACGACATATATATATATGTCAGTACATGGAAGTGACTATACTTTTCATTATAGCAAAAGAAAAACTAATGTGTTACATATTTTGCTGATTCTAAGTGAGATCGATTAATATTGTAGAATTCAAAAGCTGTCAAGTTTTTCACATTACTGCTAATGTGACATTTTTCAAAGCCTGCATAAATTCTGAACATATAATAGGCACTATTTGTGCCATTCAAAGGCTGATATGGATATATGTCGATGAGGAAAATATCCATTCATATTCAAAAAGATGTTTGCTTTAGAAAGATTCTTCCAGTTATTGTTATTCAAAAAAAGATGCCTACAGTTCACTTAAAGAAGATGTTCCTTAAAGAGGCGGTCGATCTCAAGCATAAATTGCTCGGTAGTAATTTAAAGTGTTCAATATAGTGAAGTGATCATATTAAAGAGGTGTTTACAATGGACATCTGTAAAAGCTGAGGATAAGCTTGCTCATCACAAAAGCTAAAAAACAGATTTTGTTCAAAAAAAGTAGTATATGGACATTAGTGGTTAATATAATATCTATTCACACAAGGTATTTTACAAGGTCAATATTGAGGAAGCTGCGGTTATCTTCTACAATTAAGACCAACTTAATCGATGGTAGTTCGAGTGTTCGTAGTTTCTACACATATCTGGAAGTAATCCTTGGCTAAATTAATGGATACGTAATTGTGGAACACCTTGTATACATAAAAGTCAAAGTAGACATGATTGCTCAAGGATGACTATTTTTCAAAGAAATGGGATATCACAGTTGAAAACTAAAAGCGCAGCATGAACGAGTGTCTATAGGAGATATACAGTTTTTACGGATACTCATTTACATTGAAAGGTTTTGATGTTAATTAAGCAGTTATCAATTGAACCGTAATGACACTTAGAAAAATAAAGAAATACAAAAACGGTAATATTGAGATAAAAGAAACATTCGTTTTTTTGTTCTGGAATATTTTGAATGAATCTGACAAATAAAAATGTAATTCAAAGTACCATGACCAAGAGAAAAACGGTTTTCAGTGATTGGCAAATCTGCAGCAGAAAAATGCGTTCCATCTAAGAAAAATTAGCTGAATATGAAAAACGACGACGAGCAAATAATGATAATAATAGAAATTCTGTAAACGGCCTTTGAAGAATCGTAATTGATTTGATTATCTAGAAGTATGTTCGATGTTCATTCTGAAATATCTATCTAATTCATCATATGTAAATATTATTTTTGAAAATAAATTCAATTATATCTGTTTGCTAGTACATTTCCTGTCGGTGAAAATGTGAAACACGATCTAATTACTGTCTTTAATAGCAGTTGTATTGTTTTATTCTATATATTTTGGCATACATTTCTTCACTATCCTTTTACATAACTTTCTAGACATGCAATAAAGAAGTAGCTCATACATTATGACGGAACATTATTATGATACAAGATCTTTAACCGTATCGTTGCTAAGATGTGTATGACGTCTGTCGGGATGGGGATGAGGTTCAAATTTCTAACCCTATACTTCAACTCTTCTTTTAAATCATATTTTACAAAATACACGCATCAAGCGGCTTGTTTCTTACAGACAGACAGGTACGCTTGAGTGTCTGATTGAGGCTTCAATTTGACCTATTCATACAAATATCATCTTTTTATTGTTTTGCGTTCTTTCCTATTGAATAGACATGATGTTCTTATCGTCGAAAGACGCAACATAAGAATAAATATTGATTATTTGAGTTTGTCACCGTTTACAAGTAAGTATGAAGGCAAGTTCATTCGTAAATTTCTGTTACTGCTTGCAGTGGTTGTCGTTTTCTTTTTCTTCCTGACATATATATATATATATATATTATTTTTTGGTAAATGTCATTATTTGCGCTGCCTCAATTGATCAACAGTGTTCACCATGCCTACAAAATCAAGGAAAAAGATTCAAGGTCTCAGTCTTTATAAAACATTTGTTGATGCTTATATGAAAGCTTGAACTGATGAAAAAAAAAGCTGTCAGTTCATTTTTTAATTAACATGAAATAATTTTTTTTTGAAATAGGTAAAACATCATGATGCACAAGTTCAATGGAATGAAATAAAGTGGAATGAAGAATATGCTAAAGAAAAAATTGAGGGATATTTAGAAATATACAATAAACTCGGAGCACCTTCAAATGAAGGTCTTGAACATCCATCCTCACCTCTTTCTTCAAAACTACCAAAAATTAACCATATTCGATTGCAGAAAGACCTAAAATTGATCAATCTAATGATACAACAAATCAAATCACAACAGATAATAAACAATCAAATGGTCTTGATGATCTCGATGAAGATAAGCAAGAAGATGATGATGATGAAGAAAAGAAAAGGAAAACAACGAAAAAAAGTTATTACGTTAGAAAATGTAAACTAATTGATGAAGAATTAATTGAAGATTCAAAACAATTGCCAGCTATAAATGATATTCCATTAGAACCATTAGAAAAACACAAAAGACAACCAGCACAAGAACGTGCTTTTAAAGAACTAAGTGCTATTAATGACCGTATTGCTTCATTAGTACAAGTTAAACAAATGGATTTATCAACACCAGAAAATAGAAAACAATTAATGCAAGAGAGAAAAAAGAAAGCTTGTGAATTAAGACGTCTTCAACAAAAACAAAGAGCATCAATTAAATATCGAGTTAAACGAAGAAAAATTGTATCAACTATGTTTTCTGTTTTTAATTCAACTTCATGTTTTATTTTGATAATTTGTTAGATTGAACATTTATTGGAAACAAAACCTGAATTACATCCACAATTAAAAAAATTTTATCGTTACGGAGCTGTTCGACCACAATATTGAAGAACAATGCCCTGATCTATTACAAATTATTGAAGAAATTGAGAAAGTTGGTGGAGCAAGTGATGATCGAAGACGATCACAAATTATTCGACCTTGTTTAAAATTAGATGATTTAAGAGAAAAAAATTAAACAAAGAGGTTATGATATTAAAAGAACAACACTTTATTATCGGTATGTTAACATATTTCTCTAGGATAAGTCATACTTAGATGCAAATCAGTAACAAATCAGTCGGGTTCTTTTTCATTGAATTTTTGGAGTACTAAAGTTGGCCTATTTTGTTTTTTTTTAAATAATTAAGAGATATTAGCCTAGAAGTTATCAACTGGCAAGTTTCTACTCTTTTCTCTGAATTGATTCTACCACTTGAACTTTTATTTTTCTGATCTGAATAAGAAAAAGGGTCCACCTTATATTCGTAAATAAGATAGTTAGATATCATCTCACTCTGAACGCTTAAAACTAAATTAGGTTGCTTTTTTGTTTGAAAAAAAGTAAGTTGGGAGCGTAATGTTGAGCAGCAATTCGAAAGATCTTTCGAGAGATTAATACTTTTCAAATGTCGATCCATAGTCAACTAAATAGAGATGAGACAAATGAAACTTTCTTTTTTCTTTATCTCGTCAGTAGTTGATCGCAGACAAATTTTCTCATTCATACTAAACAGGAATTGTAATCTTAAAAAAAAATGATATTATAAACTTTGAAGAACATTAATCTTCCTTCATTTTTGAGACAATTCCATCAAATTAAAAGCATTTCGATCATTTCAATGATGAGAAATAAATATTGACAGTTTTTTCAGGGAACTATCAATCTTATTCTACACTTCATTGAATTCATCATCATTTTCCAGAATTTTTATTCAGCATGTTAGACATAGTTTTTAGAATTCAATCAGACTAAAAATATTCAAAATAAAAAAGACTCTAATGTCTCATTTTTTTTTTCTATTTGTCATCCTATAAATTTGAAATTGATCCTGATAACATATCAGCTCAACTAAAGACTTAACGATAATGAAATGAGCGATGAACCGCAATGAAAATACTTGTTCAACAAGTACCCGTCGAGTAGTACTCAATGTTTATTGAATACTTCTATATTGCTTTTGTGTAGTTTATTGCCTGTGATAAATATCCATAAACTACTGGCATTTTTTTTTTCGAAAGCATTGTACCATTGTAAATTGTCTGAAAGAGGTGAACATGTTTGAAGTTTATTAAACCTGATTACGTCGATATTTTTATTAGTAAAATATATTCTGAAATTGTTTTATTCTCAATTAATTTGAATCTTTTCTAATAGATAATTCGAATTTCGATAGAAAACTGTCTCTTCAAGTGTTGATAACTTGACTTGAGAGTCGTAATGCGTACTAGTGGTAGTGTGAACAAACTTTCAACATGAGTATTCTCAGCTATATATTATTGGGTATAAGCATGTGTTCAAAAAATAAAGTACTTTGTTTTAAGAAATACTGTGCTGCTACAAAAATGAGAAAATAATGCATGAAAATATCTGCAGTTACTGCCAGACGTGATACATATCTCTGGTATGAAACGATTGATAAAGAAAAATTTATATTGATGGGTGAATAATGAATATGTTCTAATATAAATTTTGTTTTTTAAACATACTTCAGTCTTTTACTTCATCGCGCAACATCAAGAGATGATCGTCGTCACGTAAATACTGCTCCAGTTCGTCTTCGTCGTGCTCAAAATGATGAACATGGAAAACATGAAGACGGTCATTTTGCTACAGCAACAATACCTTATATGAAAGATTTAGCTTCTATATTCGGCAATGATTGTGTTTTTTATTTATCTCAAGATGATAAATGTAAAGTTCCATTAGGTTTACCAGCGGCTAGAGTTCAAACTCCAATGCTCATGCATTTGGATTATCGTATACGTTTACCAGATCATGATTGGATAGTTGCACCTCGACATCAATTAACACCAAGTGTATATGCAGCATGTCTCTTATCTGAAGATGAAGATTTAGGTTATTCAGGCCCAACATATATTGCAATGCGTTCAGTTAAACATGACCTATCAAGTGCTGATTCGCATGCATTAGATTTTGATTGTCTTGTTTGTTTAAAAGAATTTGAAAAAGTAGCACATGATAAAATTGGACAAGTTAAACCAATTTTAATAACTACAGTTGATGGTGGTCCTGATGAAAATCCACGTTTTCCAAAAACACTTGTTGCAAGTATTAAAAAATTTTAAAAATATAATTTAGATACACTTTTTATTCTTATACATGCGTAAGTTTTTATTGTTTCTTGAATTTAAAAAGTTTTTTTAATTAATATTTTTTTTCTTTTTTAAGCCCTGGTCAATCAACTTATAATGTAGTTGAATGTCGTAGGGCGCCATTATCTCATGATTTAGCTGATCTTATTTTACCACATGATCATTTTGGTTCACATTTAAATGATTCCGGTGTAACAGTAAATATTGATTTAGAAAAATTAAATTTTCGTAAAGCTGGAAAATCAATTATTGATGGGTTTCCATGTGTTGCTGAATATATTAATTCACCAGCTACAACAGACGATGAACGTCGACAAGTTGATATTAAAATTGTTATAGATGAACTTTTACGAAAGTAGTTAGTTTTATTTTTATTTTTAAAAATAGAATTTGTGCT